CATGGAAATTCAGTTAAAAGTCAGCCCTTTACTTTCTGAAGGCACAAAATAATTCTGAAGATAATGAATCCCTAGTTAACCAAATACATATGTTTTCCTAGGTAGGTCGAAGGCAAACTTGGATGTACAGACAAGTAATGACATTTTCTTTCCCTTCCTGCACGAAGATGTAACATACTTCAGCCAGTAATCAATAAGCATTTATTAAGTGCTAGGTGCTAGGATATAAAGACAAAAATGAAACCATTCCTGTCCTCAAATATCTTATATCCTATAGAGGGAGACAGCATGCTCACAATAACCTTAGGAGGTTGGTGCTATTATTTCTATTTTACAGATGAGGAAACCAAGGCAGACAGAGGTTAAATGACTTGCTTAGGGTCATACATCTAATAATTGTCTGAGGTTGGATTTGCTTTCATATCTTCCTGACTTCAGACCTAGCACTCTATCTATTATGCCACCTAGCTATCTCAGAAGAGTTAGAATAAGGCCATTTCAAGTGACAATTTGCAAAAAGTATGGCTGGAAGGACCTATAGAATATTTGAAATCATGCTTTTCTTGCCTTTTTAAAAGTTTCTTATAAAACACAGATGGCCAGACCAGGTTTTTTGAGGGGTTTGGGAGAATCTGACTGGTCCACCAATATTTTTGTTTCTGATGATAATGTTTCCATGTGTAAGCCCTTAGCTCCATATCCAGTTGAGTCTCCAGGGTACTAAGGCCACGTGCTACCTGTGTTTTGAACTTTTTGGAGTTTAGAAGTTGTCAGGCTTAGCAGCTCATTCTTTAAAACCAGGAGGTTCTTTATTTTCCTTGGACTTTTTTTGGGGCAGCGAATATTATAAGGATTAAATTCTCATTGTGGTGGTAATTATGTTTTTCTCTTTGTCTGGACTATAACTTAGGGGGAATTACAATGCCTAAGGAAAGGCAGACTGATCTGGTGTAATTGAGAATGATGGCCAGAAAGCCTAGAAGGTCTCAAGTCTTCTATAGACTAGCTCAGTGTTTTTTTTTAAAAGCTCATTTGCTGGAAAATGTTTCATTTTTCCCACCTTCTCAATGAAAATGATAAAAATAATATTAACCTTTCCTTCCTCTGAATTCCCACAGCATTTTATCACTACCCCTCTTAATGTAATTTTCTATTCTACTTTGTTTTATGGTACACATCAGAACTCCTCTACTAGAAAGTAATTTTGATGGGAACAAAGGACATGCCTTATTTTTGTCATATCCATAGCATCTATTACAATGCCTTCAATGGAAGTTCTGAGACTTCATGCTCTACGTCACAGTCAATGGTCTGTGATTTGCTAGCCCATGGTAGAAATGGAAGGGACATAGCAATAAAAGAGAATTCTGGAAGAGTACCATGTCAATGAGAGGCACCTGGAGACAAAGGCAGGGGTCCAACCAAGGGAGTAGGAGAACAAAGGCATTTAGAGGAGGCATGGAATATGAGTTAGTTGGGGTTATTTTACCATGGCTGAAATAAAATGAAAATAATCTTGACATTGACATTATAAATGAAACAAGAAGAAAAAAGGAAATTTCAGCTGAATGGAATGATGGATCAAGGTTCTCTTGAGTGAGGCGAATGAAGGTGTTGATGAAGTTGGTTTATTGTGCATCCACATAAGTATAATTTCATGGGATACTTGGTCATCCAGGATTGCAGTGTTCATGATGAATATTTGAAAAAAGATTACAATGAAGAAAATGGGCCAGCTTCTCATTTAATGTCTAATGCAGAAGAAGAGGAGGGAGAGAAATTCTCTAAGTAAGTCAATAAGATCCTGCAAATTAAATCAGCATATACTTTAATACTTAGTGCAAAGGTGGACATAGGAGAGGATATGAAAAATATGTTAGAAAACATGGTTTGGAAGCAAGAAAGGAGAGAAGCTGGTAGATTACCCACCTGTATAACCAGGAAATTTTTTTTTCAAGAAATTGAGTCAGAGACATAAGATATATCAAATAACATGACTAAAAAATGAAATCAATTGTTTTGATAGACAAGAAATGACTGGTTAGCAATGTGGCATTCGTTTCCAAGTTGCTCTTGATGCACAATCAGAACATTAAATTGTTAGGGCAAAGAGCAAAATCAGTAATGAAATAGAACAAAGAATAAAAAAAGAGATGTTTGCATGCAGTTGAAGCAACTCCAACCTGGCACATTTGGTAGTCGGTGCTGGAAAAAATAGCTAGCATTTCTATAGCACTTTAATGTTTGCAAAGAGCTTTACATACCTTATTTCATTTGATCCTCACAGCAATGCTGGAAGGTAGGTGCTGTTATTATCCCCATTTTATAGATGAAGAAACTACAGCAGACAGAGGTTATGCAGCTTGCCTAGGGTCACCCAGCTAATCAGTTTGTGAGGCTGTATTTGAACTTGAGTCTTCCTGATTTGAAGTTTAGTGTTCTGTTCCCTGTACCACCCACCTCAAAATGAGAAGAAGGTAAAAGGACAGACATCACCCTTTCCTGTGAAAATTTAATCAGTTGCCACAATGAGGCTCAGAAATTGTTCATGACTGGGGCAGCTAGGTGGTGCAGTGAATAGAGCACCAGCCCTGAAGTCAGGAGGACCGAAGTTCAAATACATACTCAGATACTTGACACTTACTAGCCTAGCAAAACACACACAAACCCCCCCCCCCATAAATTGTTAATAACAGAAGACCCTTAATCTCCCTGCCAAATGGAAGGATATGGCAGTCAAGGACAATAATTGTTTAAAATACAAAGTAATTTAGAAAATCTTACAATGGAGGATAGATGAATATGAGCAGTACTGATTTGTTTTATGGTGAGAAGCCGTGGAGTTTATAGAAAAGTTTATAAAAAGTTTCATAAGGGACTCAACTAAGCCAGATCATCCCCAGGGCATTTAAGGATGAAACAGGAAGAAGGACAATGAGGAGATTAAAAATAGAAAATGATCTCTAAGGATTACCATCACTAGCTCTTTCCTCCATCAATGATAGGCAAGCCACAACATTTGGGCTCGTATCACAATCCCCGATGTGCTGCATGAGGAAGTAGAAATAGCTCTAAAGAAAACAAAGATGGGAAGAGCAGCTGGACCAGAGCAAGAATAAACAGAGGTGACAAATGTTGAGAGAGTTGAGGGCTCAAGTTTCAAGATGTCTGAAAAAGGAGGAAAATGCTAAATGTTAGGGAAATAAAAATCAAAGATTTTATTATAGTTCAGAAAAGGATGATTGATGAAATACTAATGAGACACATGTTCTTTAAATATGCTTGCTACCATAATGGAAAATATCAACTATACTGTTGAAGAAGAATTCCCTACAGGTGATGAGGTCCTAAAGATGTGCGTGACTCTGAATAATATTGTGATGATTGTGACTATTTCAGTATTTCAGAGTCTTTGAAATGAGTTTTATGATCACTCCAAATTTTATGTTTGAACTGATTGTCCACACAAATAACCAAGAAGGTGAAGAATGCCTTTTGTCCAGACCATGACATGGAAGAGATCTTATAGAATTGGTCCATCAGTGCCTATATCTTGTACAGACACTATAGAAGATTCTTTGGGGGATGTGGACAAGAGTCACATAGGATAAGATGTGAAGAGGGTGAAATCTGATTTGGTCTACACAAATAACCAAGAAGATGAAGAATGCCTTTTGTCCAGACCATGAGATGGAAGAGATCTTACAGAATTGGTCCATCAGTGCATACATCTTGTATAGACACTATAGAAGATTCTTTGGGGGATATGGACAAGAGTCACATGCAAGTCACCACCCATCAACCACTATTTTACCCCAACATCATGATGTCATTAGTCCTTTTCCAAAATGAGGAACCAACAAATGTCACCATCATAAAATAAAAATTGAGATGAAGACTTAAATAGATTCTGAAAATAGACTTATAGAATTAAAATTTAGAGAAAATTAGATTTGGGAAGGACCTAAGATGTAATTCAGTCTTCTCACTTACAGAAGGAGTCTCCTCTATAGCATCTCTGTCTAATGGCTATGTATCATCATCCCATCTCTGGTTAAATACTTCAAATGACAGCAAATTCACTATTTTGTTAAGGTTATTTCCTACACTGTTGGATGTTTCTAACAAAAGAGGCTGTTTTTTGCTTGGTGATAGGAAAAATAATTATAAGCATGCATAATATCATGAAATAAGTTTAAAAAGATAGGAACTTCTTTTCATGATATTTTTGACAGATAACCAGTTATTTTGTGTCATTTAGAAGGTGTGCACCTTCAAATGTGAAGGTCATGAATAGATTTGGGTTATCTGTGACCTTAGGTTTCTTCTTCATATTGGATACATACCAGTTATCTCTTTGTGATACCCCGTTTTAAAAATTTGTATAACTATTTATGATTCAAATGTATAAAACAGAGAAAACTTTACTAGTTCAAATAAGTTGGTAGTAAGTCTAAATTCATGACAAATATGAATTCTAAAATACTTTGGTAGATCTGTGATCTCACCAATGTGGGTACTCTCCTCCAAAAATGCATATCGCAACCTATCTCATCCTGTGGGATTCTTGTTCATGTCTTCTCATAAAAACAATTTATTTTATTCTTGAAAAATGCAATGTAGTTCCTACTAAGTAGCATTTTATAGTAGTGGTCTAAATACCCATTTAATAGTGGTCTTAATGAGCTTATCTAAAATTGTAGCAATCATGATCGGTAATTAGCATCATTTTATGGAAGGCAATACTCCAGAAGGAGTGAGTTTTTGTAGTACTTAAGTGCCAGAAGAAGGAGGAGGCTAGAGAGGATATTCAGAATAAAATATTTTGACAGTCATCAAAGGGCATCGACTTTGTTAGGACTTTAATTATAAAGTGAAATTTTGTCTAAATGGCCATCTAGACACAAGCCTAGCACTGAGACACTTTTGAAATTAAAAAAAAAACCAACCTTAATATAGCAAATAATTGAGAAATCTATTTTTTTTTTTTTTTGTTTCAGGACCTCCTGGGAAACGTGGTAAGAGGGGCAGAAGAGGAGAATCTGGTAAGTTTGAACTTTGGACTTTGTCATGTAAGAACTTGATTTCTGTGTGTGGTCACCAAGAGATAGCCATCTCTTCCTATGATATTATTTTGCTATATTGTTTTAGTAAGTGCTGTCTTATCTTATGTACATCTAAGATTATTTAGTTTTTGAAATAATTTTCTTCTAGACTGTTTTTATGGGTCTACACACACACACACATGTCTATGTGTTTAGTTTAAAACTAATTTGATTAGTATAGGGGACTCCCATAAGAAAACTCCCTCTTCCAATGCAAGTTGGCACCTATTTTGCTCCCTGTAGCTGTGTGAGGAACCAAAAGGTTCCCCTTTTCTGATGTAATACCACATCACACTCTTGAAATATTTAAATAGTGTATTCACAGCCAAAGCATATAAAAGGCAAGTGTGTAATGTTTTAAATATTTAACCCTAATGGACATGTGTTTTCAGTGTGCAACAATGGTGCCATCTTTTTTTTTTTTTATAGCAATTCAAATTGCACACAAGAATCTGAGGGCCAGTATTTGAACCCAGGTCTTTCTGACTCTGAGGCTGTTTCTCTGTCCATTATCCCAGGTAGCCCCTTGAATACATACATGAGTACATGTACCTATACATATATGTGTTTATGAGTAGGAGTGCACATACAGATAATCTGGTAAAAATGAGGGTATATATTATATATTTTCACACATACTTGCGTATGGCTTTGTTTTTAAAAATATTTATTTTTTGGTCACATTATGAATTCTGAGTTGTCCCCCTTTCCTTACTCTCAACCCCACATTAGAGAAAGTCAACATTTCATATAAATATATATATATGTGTGTGTGTGTGTGTGTGTGTGTGTGTGTGTGTATACACACACACACACACATGTATGTGTATGTACATATATGTGTATGTATGTATGTGTGTATATGCATGTGTGCGCATATATATATATGCATGTGTGCGCATATATATATATATATATATATATATATATATATATATATGTAGAACCACATAATACATACTTCCATATATCAGTTCTTTTTCTGGAGAAGGGTAAGTCCATAACAGTTGCTTTAAATGTTCACATAACTCAGAATAGTTTAGTTATTCACAGTTACTCTTGGAACAATATTGTTGTTACTATATACTATGTTCTCTTGGTTCTGCTCATTTCACTCTGTATTATTTCATGTAAGTCTCCGTGTTTTTCTAAAACCAACCTGCTTGTCATTTCTTACAACACAGTGGTATTACATCGCAACCACATACCACAACTTATTCAGCCATTCCTTAATTGCATATAGCTTTGGAAAGGAGAGGACTATAGAATTATTACAGTCATGGTCTGGCTAGATCATCGGCACATGATTTCTTTCTTTACTGTTGTTTCCCTCAGGTTTAGTTCACACTGTCCAGATAAAGTTCCATACGTCCTATTCTTCTCCAGTAAGGCTGTGACATGACAATGTCCTAGCATGTAGTTCAGGGTCATGTCCCTAGGGAGTAGTCAGTAAAGTATGTAATGCCTCTGAGTCCATAGCTGTCTCAGAACAGGCAGTGTTCTTCTCTGAAGAGAACAATGCTGCTTTCCCCAATCTAAATCTTTCTTTTTGTTTTTTTTCTTATTCTATATAGTGAGTTTGGCAATAGAATTGCCTTAGTTGAATTTGATTTTGAAAAGAAAAGGGAGGCCTAGGCTGCTTGCAATCTGAACTGCTATAAAAAACACATGTCCATTAAGGTTCAAATATTTAGAACATTATAAACTTGCCTTTTATGTGGCTTGGATGTAAATCCACTATTTAAATGTTTCAAGAAACACTCAAGCTTTGGGATTTTGAATATTGCTGAATATTCACAAAATGAGATCATTTTAGAACTTAGAAAGACCTTCAAAGATCCCCTAGCCCAAGAGTCTCAAACTTATATGTATCATTTTTGTTTTAAATTTGTAGTCGTCATGTGTTTGTAGTACTATCTCTAAGTCTGTTTCACTGCACAAAGACATTAATTTGATTACATATTCACCAGGTTATATTTGACATCAGATCACCCTTAAAGACTTAGAACAACTGAATCTAGGATAACCTCCTTATTTTTACAGAAAAAGAAAGAACTGCTAGGGAGGTCAAAGGGTTATTAACCCAATGTCACACAATTTTTTAGTGGCAAAATTGGAAATGGAGCCCAGGTTTCCTGAATCCCAGTCTCATATATACCCAGTCTCCTCAGTCAAAATGAAGCAAAGGCATTAAATGAGTTTCATGAAAAGACTTTATCTTGGGTATTGTTTTGGCATCCTGTTTTACTTGGGCTGTCTTCACAAGGGATCAAATGTAGTCTTATCAGCTTGTCCCCCTTTGTTTGAAGGATGAGGGGGAAAGATATTCTGGAAGGACAAGAAAACAACAGTCCTTTCACAGTATGTCCTAAAGCGCTTAAATACATTAAATTGCTGAATATCAAGATGTTGGGAGCACTGATGTCATCAAGGACAAAACACAGCTGGTTCTATTTGAGGTTTCCTTTTGCCCTTCCCTTTAAAAAACATAATGAGGCATAAAAGCTAATGAAAAGTCATGGATTTGGGAATTACAGCCGCATCGCTTAATATCATTGAATTATTAGATATGATTTGCAAGACTTTGGTAGTTTCCTCAAAATTTTTTCTACCAACCCACTGAGCCTAAATAATTTGAAATATATGCAAATATTACTTCATTCAGTGTGACCTTTGCATAGCATGTCTTTTATAAGTGAGTCCTGTAAAGGGAGGGGAGAGTGAGAATGAGGTGATGAAAGGAATGTTTCATGGAGTCAAGTGACCACTAAATTTGCCCTTTTTGGCAAGGGAAAGTAAGATCTAGACTTAAGCATTTTGTCCTAATGCCAAGGTCAAATATTCAGGGTAAAAAAAAATCCATAATTTTGTAGGCAAGATGTAATCAAATGCTTGTTTAAATGGCTAATTGGAACTGGTGGCCTAGGAAAATATTATATGTATGATATTTCTGAAAATGGAATCTCGTGTTCAGTATTTTTTGGCAGGGCATGTGATTTCATGAGAATACATAGCTGCTGAACAGAACTGCAAATGTGTTTGAAGTCTTTCTCATGCTCATATCTTTAGTTGTAGTGGGTTGTTGGGGAACGACATATTTGTAAGTGATCTAATGTGCAGACTCCTGATTTGGCCAATTTTGTAAATTATGAGAAATCAAACACTGCTTCTCTACCTCTTTATTACAGAGAATGGCAAAAAAGTATTTCTGTTTAATCAGATTCCCTCTTTTATCTGAATCCTCCTTAGCATATCTCAATTAATTCTCGTTTTCTTTATGAAGTTCAGATTCTTGAGATGTGCTATAATCTTCATTCTTGATATTTTATATGCTCATCTTTACAGTTGCACAGACTGATTCTTTCTTTTTTGTTTTCTTTTTCTTCACAGGTCCTCCTGTAAGTATATTTGATACATTTTGGCTCTTCCACATTAATCTGGATCGTGCCTGTCTAAACATTGTTAGAACATCACTGTGGTTCAACAGATCATATTTCAATTAGAGGAAAGGTAGTGCCACTTTTTTTAAACAATGTCTCTGGAACAGCTGAGCAGTCGCTTAAAAGCATATCATTGGAGAAAATCTTTAAGCACAGTTTTGTTAGAGCAACCTTATAGGTGGTATTTTGGAACCAAATAATCTGTAAGTATTCTCAGTTTTTTGCCGGCTCTTTTATTTTTGGAAAGTGTTACTTTTGGTTTGGGCTCCATTGCCAATAACTCACAGCCCCGGAATTCCGTGTTTTCTTTTTCATAGAAATCTCAAAGCTCATTTCATCTGTTTAAACTTGTATCTGAAATATTTGCATTTGCTGGTCTACCAAACAGAGATAACAACGTGATCATGAAAATGATATGCCCTGTAGACTCTGTCTAATACTCCTTCCTAAGGCAAAATTCCCTTTGATGTGAGTTGAAGTTTTGCCTGCCCAAAGACTACAGGACTGAACTTTCAGAGAATTTTTCTTGCTTTTTTCTCTCACTTACGTAGGTCAGAGTTGTGAAGTTTCCAGTATTTTTTCCACTCACTGGAGTGTCACCTTTGAGTTGGATGTGTTTTTGACTACTTTCCTGGCCATTTGCTGCCTGACATACTGGGTACTGGGTATTTACAGTAGCAGCGATAGCTGGCCTTGAGATATGTTCACATCCCCAAAAGCTAGTGTTCACTGAGTACACATTGGCAACTCATCTAACGAGATGGCTTGGTCCAGAGAGAGCAGGAGGCTTAGTGGATGCTAGTTTTCTTTATTCAGAGGAAATGTTGGCTTCCCAAATATCTTTTGCAGTCTTCCTGGAAAATCAGGGATGGAACATAAATCATGAGAATGATTTTTGTTCTGTAACTGATTTTTAGCTTTCCTTTAATGGCAGGCAGATGGTATGCCCTGGGTCTGTAAGTGTTTCCTCTTAGGCTTCAACTTTATACCTCTGTAGTTTATACTAGAAACAAACCACTATTGCCCAGAGAGAACTCCGGAGATTCCAGCTTGAACAGAGGGTTCAAGGTTTCTTTCGTGGCCTCCTTTTGTAGCCTAAGTGATCCTTAAATCCTAGAGCTTTTTCATGGTCACTTACAGGTTTCTAGAATTCAGGTTTGGTTCCCGACACTGCAGGCAATTGCTAATCTTGTTTCCTTCAGTTTGACTATTACCCATGATCCCATGCATAAAGATGTCCATTGTTCGTCTTACATAACATTTTTTTATCCATCATAACCCTTCTGTAACATGACTCAGAGTTATTGCCACATATTTAGATGTACCATGGATTAAATCATATCCCCTAAATCATAACAAACATATAAAGTAAAGGCTGGATCTACCATGCGTAATTTACAGTGTGAGTATCTATCTTAGTCTGACATCTGTGTTTTCAGAGAGTTTGGTTGTATTTTCAAATCACATTATTAGCTGAAATCAATAGTTCTTTTATGGCTGGGAGAAGATTCATGCTATTCATTTAGCAAGATTTAAAAACAATATTGATTATTCTTCCTTAAAAGAGAGCCTCACTACAAGAGGTTTTGGCAGTAAACTACTATATAAGTGAAACTATCTCATACAAAAAAAGGGCTTTGGCTAGTTTCCTGATTACAATTGTAATTTCTAGGTACAATTGTAATTCCTAATTACTTCGTAATTTCTAATTACAAATTATCTTGGATAAAGTGCCTAGTGACTAAGTTCTGGTCCATAGCAAAAAAAAAAAAAAAGGAGAGGAAGATTCTGATTGTATTTCTCCTTTAAAGTGTTGTGTAGAATGCTATTTATTTTCATTTGTATGTCTCACTCCCCAGCCCCCAAGGAAGATCAATGAACTGTATCATCATTATCAAGGTTACATCTACCACCCTCAAAGCAACTTACCAAGTGTCCTTGTGTACTTGGGATTCTCAACATAGGCAAACCAGAGAGGAATAGTATTTTATTATGTAATATCATAGAACTAAATCTGGAAGGGGCCTCAGAGGTCACCTAATCCAATCTTTTCATCTTATGAATAAAGAAAATGAGGGCCAGGGAAGTTAAGTGACTTGTCTAAGGTCACATAAGTAAGCTAGCTAGCACATAATACATGCCTAATGAACACTGGCTTGATGAGAAGTTTCAGAGTCCTCTGATTGCTTACTGAGCCAGCAAGTTCTTACTGTGTTCTTTCCACTGTGCCACCTTGTATCAGATGACTTGAGTGATTTTCGTTCTTAGTAAAGATAGTAAAAGTTTTTAACATTAGGTTGATGAATGTCTATTCTCTAGGTATGATTTTTAGAAAATTATTAGAGGTGTGACCTGTTTCCCCAAATTTGTTTTATTCTCAACCTTCCTTTCTTTTTAGAATCTAATGCTTCTCCCACAAACCAGAAATTGGGGGGGTTTTTTTGAGTAGCAATTTCTATGACTCTCTCTTCTGAATGAGTGATTCTTACTCTTAGGCAGGTATCATGTGGGAGCATATGCTGATAAATCTAAGGGTTCTCAATATTGCTGCTGCTGAATTAACCTTTAGAGAAAGATCTTCTCCTAAGTGGACATTGAGATCCATTTTCAGCTTGTGCCAAGATATCCTTGTGTATTTAGAATGACTCCAAAGCATCACCTGGGATGGTGGTACTCATTCTGGTACTCATTCATCTCTCCTTTGGGCTGTTGGAATATGAAATGAATGCCAAAGCCTCATTGGCAGCTTCCTAAAAAAAAACAAACAAAACCCGCCCCAAAACAAAACAAACAAACAAAACAAACAAAAAACCAAAAACAACAACAACAAAACCTCCAGAATTTTCTACCCTTTGTACATACAAATCATAAGATGGGGGATTTAGAGCTGAGAAGGACCTTTGAGAATCCTTTTAAGGCAAATTATTCCTTTAACTGGAGAGTGAGGGACAGAGAGATTAATGACTTGCCCAAGGCCACATAGATAATGCAAGAGCCAAGATTCAAACCTGGATCTTTGCACTTCACTCCATGCTGCTTCATGATGATAATGGAGATCAACTCATTTTTTTTGTTCAGTCATTTCAGTCGTGTCTGACTCTTTGTGACCCTGTTTGGGGTTTTCTTGGCAAATTTACTGTAGTGGTTTGCCATTTCCTTCTCCAGCTCATTTTACATATAAGGAACTGAGGAAAACAGGGTTAAGTGACGTGTCCAGGGTCACACAGTGAGTAAGTGTCAGAGGCCAGATTTGAACTCAGGAAGATTCATCTTCCTGACTCCAGGCACTGCACCACCTAGCTGCCCTAACCGACTCATTACTTATGAAGATTTCTAGCCTGATTCTTCACTGCCTTTATGAAGAAATACTATTCAAACGAGCTGGAGAAATTAATGACCACCTAATGCATAGTGACAATAATAACTCTTGACATCTTTATATCTTCATTTGAAAATCATTTGGGAAGTGACAGGACACGTGGATGCAAATGCAACTAGCATTGTGTGGTGTTTAAAATGTTTTTTTTAATTCAATTTGAACATTTTTGTATATTGAGATAATTGTTTGGTCATTATAACTCTAAACCCAACTGGCATTAGTTCCCACGTGTCCGTTTGCTCCTTAGGAAGCCATTCTGGTTGCATTTTGGGGACCTTTGTGCCTCATGTATTCTATTTAGTTTAGTTGCTTAGCTCTATGCATTTTGAGAAAAAATAAATTGCTACCACAGTGGTCTTAGCCGCTGACCACAAAAGACTGTAATGGAGCAATTTTATGGTAATGTATGTGATTTAGAGTCAGGCAATTATCAGCCACCCTTTTCTGACTTCCCTTCACACAAATGTAACATACACAAAACACCATTCCAAAGGTTTGATGCAAGCATTTTGGTTGCCCAGTTTGGACACTCCAAGGATATTTGCTAGAATGACATGTTGCTTGATTTCAGAGGCAGTTAAGATATACCTCCTGCTTTTAGAGATGCCTCTAAAACTAAGCAGTATGAGTTTCATGGAGATACCAATAACAGATCAAACTTTTTCTAAATGCTATCACAGCTTAAAAATGGGGCTAGTTTCTTAATAAGCTTTGACCTTCTGTAGCACTAATATCCCCTTGCTCCCATATGTTTCAAAGGAAGTTCTCTACTCGTTTACACAAGTCAGAGAAATAAGCAAGTCCTGGGAGTTTACCCAGAAATGAGACAGAAGCCTTGTTGCCACTGATTTTTTTTTTTGATTCCTATCAGTCTTCTAAGTTACGTAGTCGCAGGAGACTGACAGCGATAGGATGTTATTATTGCTAGTGTTGAACACTCTGAGGTGTGAAATATGACTCTTTTGTGCAGTCTGTTCTGCCTTATGTACCATCAACAATTGTCAACTAGGTTAAACTGCAGGCTCTTGTTGACAGATGTAAGAAGCAGACATGGCCAGGCTATGGGTACAAAGTTGTTTTGACCAATGTGGCAGATGAATTAGGGAGAAATCTCTCTCTCTCTCTCTCTCTCTCTCTCTCTCTCTCTCTCTCTCTCTCTCTCTCTCTGTCATTCTCTCTCTGTCTCTCTCTCTCTCTCTCTCTCTCTCTCTCTCTCTCTCTCTGTCTCTGTCTCTCTCTCTCTCTCTGTCACTCTCTCTCTGTCTCTCTCCACCCTCCTCCCCTCACACAGACACACATAGATCCACCTCTGTAAAACCTTCAAATTGAGGAGTTCTGATTATTGTATTTCTCTGAATCAAAAAAAAAAGTTGGTTTACAATTCGGAAGCAGACCCTTTCAAATGTTAAGATTTTATTGAGTAAAGAAGGTTATAAGCAGCTAGGTGGCACAGTGGATGATGGGCTGGGCCTGGAGTCAGGAACTCATCTTTTTTAATTCAAATCTGGCCTCAGACACCTACCAGCTGTGTGACCCTGGACAAATCACTTAACCCTCTTTACCTCAGTTTCCTTACTTG